ATATAAATATGTAATGAAATTATAAAATTGTCATGTTTTGTCAGTGTACCATCTAATATTCAGATTAGGTGTCAAACGACATGTTTTTCGTGGTTGATTAGTTTTAGTAATTTTAGCTTATTATTAAGCATATGTTTCCTTTAAGTTTTTCATCTAATGTTTATTTGTTATTTAGTTTCAGCTTTATTTGAATGAACAAAAAAACACAATTAATAATGTTAGTTTTAGTTAACAATAGCAATACTGATTATAATGTATATTTGTGATATATAAATATATAATGAAGTGATGACAATACTTGTCATGCTCTGTCAGTGTACCATCAGTATTCAAATTAATAGTTAACAAACATTTTTCATTGGTTCATTCCTAAATTGTTACTTTTGGCTCCTCCTTGTCCTGAATAAAGCCACTGTCGCCATGGTTACTTCAGAACTATATTTAGTGGCAAGTTTGAGTTTTGTCATTACTGAGAATTTGCCGTTGAAAAGTAAAAAGAATATTTGCTTTTAAAGAAATAATATGTACTTTTTAGTGGGTGTCAAGCCTTAATTATGGGTTTAAGACCCTCCTTAAAGCCTCTGTGATTCACAGCCAGTGTGCGTTGTGAGAACATCCTTTAATGTGACTCCATGAAGCTGCACAGCAGACTGTGAGTCACTCTCACACCAGTTTGAGCGGCTCTTCCCACGCACACGTCCAGCTTTTGAGTGTGTGTGTGTGTGTTTAAGAGTAATTCAGGAAGCTGGCATGTCCTTTATGAATGATTTCTGTTTAAATTACAAGTGTGTGTGTGTGTGTGTGTGTGTGTGTGTGTGGGTGGGTTCGGTCTCTTTTGAACTTTGAATGTTGTACTGTTTTGGAGTTTGCTTGACTTAATGTGTGTGTGTTTGTGTGTATTGCATGTGCATGAGGACTCAATTACACACTTGAGCCTCTGATTACTCGTTAGTACGCCTTCAAGAGCGGTTGGGAGGGGTTGCCATAGTAACCTGACCCCAGAAGCCATTGAACAATTACTCTTGTACTTTCTAAGAAGCGTTTAGGAAGCTTTCCAGCATCTGAGTGTAATTTATTACAAGCCTACACTCTGCGGTCTCAATCATGCTAATTCTATAATTAACAAGCATAATGCTATTAGCAGCATTCCAGCGCTGGTTGCTGCGTCTCTGAGCATTTGGATGAACAACCAGCGGTCAAGTGAACAGGGATTAGATGGGTCACATGATTTCAGCGGGAGGAGGTTTAGCACTATTGATTGTAATGATACTGGCCTGTTGTAAAATATTGTATGTGTACAATTCTAAAATATCCTGTCTTGAGTAAATAATGTGTAAAATAACAAGGTTAAAAATATATTTGTCTTTGCTACAAAAACATTGAACATCTCCACCATTATTGTTTTGAAAAAAAAAAAAAAGAGGATTTAGCACAGGGGTGTCCAAACTCGGTCCTGGAGGGCCGATGTCCTGCAGAGTTTAGATCCAACCCCAATTAAACACAACTGAAGCAGCTAATCAAGCTCTTACTAGGCATACTAGAAACTTACAGGCAGGTGTTTTGGAGCTGGTTGGAGCTAAACTCTGCAGGACACCGGCCCTCCAGGACCGAGTTTGGGCACCCTTGATTTAACATGTTCTGACCTTTTATGATAACTTGCTCCAATAGCGGGGTATGTTGTCACATTGGGAACATGCCATTAAAGAAATAGGGAATGCTTTATCAGTGAAACAGTCATCTGGTCTGAATCAGGAGAGAAATATGCACAGATCAAGCAGCTATTACAAACAAAACAGTCCAAAATAGTCTAAACAAATATGTTGGTGGTTGTTGATGTGAGATGAAAGCAGGGAATGGACTTTTTCCACTGGAGGAAGCGTTATTATATGAATTATGGACTCGTATTTTGACCAGAAACAATGGCTTAAAGTTAAAATGCCTTGATGGATTTGTTTCTTACAAACACACAGCTTTTGGCTTCTCAAGACATTAACTGATGGACTGGAGTGGTGTGGATTATTGTGATGTTTTTATCAGCTGTTTGGACTCTCATTCTGACGGCACCCATTCACTGCAGAGGATCCATTGCTGAGACACTGATGCAATGCTACATTTCTCCAGATCTGATGAAGAAACAAACTCATCCTAATCTTGGATGACCTGAGGGTGAGTACAGTTTCAGCAAATTGTCATTTTTGTGTGAACTATTCCTTTAGATAGCATATTATATCCTGTTTAATGGCATTTTTGGTTAAATTTAACAGTAATTATACAACATAAAATTCATGAAATTATAGCATATCAAACCATTGTTTTGGCCTACAGACAATGCAATTAATAATTGACCTTTCTGCTAAAATCATTGGTAAACCTTTGTATTCCGGAGTGGATTTTATTGTGTTCATTTGTTTACCTAAGAGCTATATTGGGATTTTTGATAGATAGATGATAGATAGATAGACAGACAGACAGACAGACAGACAGACAGACAGACAGACAGACAGACCGATAGATAGATAGATAGATAGATAGACAGACAGACAGACAGACAGATAGGTAGACAGATAGACAGACAGACAGACAGACATACAGGTAGACAGATAGACAGATAGATAGACAGACAGACAGATAGATAGGTAGACAGATAGATAGACAGATAGATAGACAGACAGACAGACAGATAGACAGACAGACAGACAGATAGGTAGATAGATAGGTAGACAGATAGACAGACAGATAGATAGATAGATAGACAGACAGACAGACAGACGAACAGACAGACAGACAGATAGATAAATAGACAGACAGACTGACAGACAGACAGATAGGTAGACAGATAGATAGATAGACAGACAGACAGACAGATAGGTAGACAGATAGACAGACAGACAGACAGGTAGACAGGTAGACAGATAGACAGATAGATAGACAGACAGACAGACAGACAGATAGATAGATAGATAGATAGATAGATAGATAGATAGATATTTTCAGTAAAACTTTTGACCTTGTTATGGGGCCACAGTCCTTCAGACAGCTCCGCAATACACATGCAAAATATATATGAAAACAATCAAATATATGAAGAAATATATATGTTATATCAGCCCTCACAGAATCATATAGCTTGCTGTTTGCTTTTGTTGGGTAAGGTTTGAAAGCTGGTTGGGTTTAGCGTGGGCTTAATGTTCAGCATATTGTTTATTCTTTTTAGATGTTTGCATATGAATATGGGAGCAGATTTTCCGCTGTAATCCATTTTGTGGTAAACGCCCCCTCAGTCAGACTTTTAAGAGAAATACTTGGCGAAAATGTGAGATTAAGAAGATTAGCTGGTTTGAATTTAGTGTCCTGTTGAAAAGACCAATAGCCAAAACCAGTCTAAACTAACTCGTGCTTTTCTCAGTAATGTAAAGGGGCGAAAACGAGAGGGTATAGCCTAAATTACGACATTGAGTGAGTATGAGAAATTTAGAGAGATTTATGACTATCCGTATTGTGTGGTAAACATCACAGGAAGCTGCTGGAGTGGTTTTGCCCTTTTAATGGTCGTTAATCCCACGCGCAGTTGGCGGGCACATTAATCCCGTGCGAAACCCAAAGCCACTTTGGCTAAAAAGCCCCATCCGGTAAAGAAATACTTCTTAATAGAAGTGAAGCGCTCTTCCAGATCGAGTAGAAGCTTTAGCAACATCATGCTGGCTTGAAATAGACTCCGGAAAATAAAGTTTGCTGGTGAGTAACTTAAAATTGTGTTGTGATCACTATATAGCATATATGTTCTCACATTAAGAAATTGCTTTCAGAAATAACTACCAATACAATTAATATTAAAATAAATTAATTGACTTTTTCCTTTTTGTTTACTAAATATTTATTTAAAGTTTCTTAAAAATTTTTTTTTTTAAATACATTTTTAAATTAATAATATAATATCTTCTGTATTTCAACTGTTACATTACTGGAATCCCATTGGTCTTCTTTCACTCTCTTTTCTTAGCTCATGAGAAAATCTAATTTTCATTTTAAAGGGCTAGTTTACAGTAAAATTTCAATTCTGTTATGATTTACTCACCTTTATGTCTTTCCAAACGTGTAAAGAATAACAGTGCACTGAACGGTAAAACTATTTGCGCTACAAACAAGTGTGTTTATGGTTATGATAATAAATTAAAATAATATAACAACAAATACCAAATTGTAAAATCAAGCAGCATAGCGTACTTTTTTATTTTTTGACCTTGTTGAATACACTCTCAGAAAAAAAGGTACAAAAGCTGTCACTGGGGCAGTACCTTTTCAAAAGGCGCACTTTTTGTACCTTTTAGGAACTAATATGTACACTTTAGGTACTTATATGTACCTTTAAGGCACTAACATGGACTGTTTATTTTTGGGTTCAGTCATTTTCATTCACGTTACCTCCTTATACATTCACACTGGTGTTAATTTAGCCTGTATCTGATCTTAAATCCACTGAATTAAATAAACATAATCCCTTAGATTTTGAAAAGCGGCAATTTATATTTCATTCCCGAATAGTTAAGTGCCACAAGGTGGTGGTCTTCTGCTGGTTTGTGTCTGTTTGAGGTGGGGTACCGCAGGGATAGGTTTGGGGCCCCTCACATTTTAAAAACATATGCGATCTTGCTCCTTGATGGGGTTCCGAAACAAAAATAAATAATTTAAAATATTGTCATTCATAAGCAGGCACCCCATTACCTGCGTTAGAGCCTCATCCATTCATTCACAACAGCAGAAAAGCATGTTTCGTAAACGGCCCCATGGTCGTTTGTCTCACGTTGAACCATTCAGTGATAAAATAATCACTGTAAATAATCAGCACTAGACGTGAGGAGGAGAAGCGCAGGCTTGCAGGTGCCGCGGCCGGTTGGATGCAGCCAGTCTCGGGGTTCACGGGTGGGAGGGGTTGAGTCGCGGACTGGGATGTGTGTGCCTGATCACGCTTCGGCAGTGTTAGTGCGTGCCAAGAAGACGAGACGACACTACAGCTGTGGCTCTCCAGTGCCCCGCCGTTTACCGGGCTACCGACCCCAAATCTCCGACGATACACCTGTGGGAAGTAGGCTACGCGCCATACGTGACCTTAGTGGATTGCGTCGCGGGGCAGGTAAGAAGGACCGTCTCCAGAACATCACCACAGACACTGCGCGCGAGTTTGGATCTGTGGAAGCGATGATGTTCTGGAAAGAGGAACGCGCGCTCTCTTTCTGTGTTTGGCTCTCTGTAGATTATCCACCGACTGCGAGCATATCGGTTGCATGGGTACCAGTAGGACTTACTGGGAATGTATCATGTGCAATTTCATAAGAATTGCACGTATGACTTAGTAAGAATGTTATATTTGCAATGTTAAATACGCAGTGTCTTAACAAGACTGAGGAGATACAGTAGGTTGTTTATGAGATGCATTTGAGCACATGGAGTTCTTTGGCCACTGCGGTGTGATGCGTTTCAGCACCGCGGACAGCGCAAAGCTCCCGTTCTCTCGGTGATCAACGGCAAGGTCGTTCACTCTCATCCGTCCCGTTCGATCTTTGAGTGGAGCTCTCTGCCCTATCAGCCTGACATTTGCATTCATTTGAATGAAGTGTGCATTAAATGCCAGCATGATTTCAATGCGAATGCCTGATATTGGCGAGGTTTTTGTGGGATTGCAGTTTGTTTCCCCTCCTATTGTTTCTTTCATGCCGGAGGCAGAAGGATGGTTCAGTGTGATGCATTAGTTATATTCCCTTCCATTCAGCTCTTGCCATAATCTTTTATTCGAAAGCGAGGCAGCTTTTTCATCGTCTCTCTAATGGACCCCACATTTTAACAAGGACCCAGGATCCAATCTGCGGTTTGGCAGATGAAACCGGCCCTTGAATGCAGCTGAATGAGGGAATTCATTTATGCTGGTCTTTATTTATACAGATGCCATTGCTGTGAGACTAAAATGAGTTGCTTGTGAAAACCACGCAGTGCAAGTCCATTCATTCTGTAAATGCTCTCCTGTTTTTATTCTGAAAAATTGTCACCTCATTTTTGGTCTGCACTTGGAATGAATGGATCTGACAGCCAAAATAAGTGTTTTTTTTATTCATGTCGAGGGCATGAAAGCTTTCTCAGCTATGTAGAAATGCTGGCTTTTTCGTTGCACTTTAAAAAACATCATGGCACACTGAAACCTCTACATCAGAGATTTTTACCTTCATTATATTCCAGAATGGTTTTGTAGTGTTCATTTGAGGGCTGTCAAATCGATTAATTGCAATTAATCGCATCCAAAATAAAAGTTTGTGTTTGCATAATATATGTGTGTATATTTATGTATAAATACACACATACAGTACATGTATATATCAAAGAAATATTTACATATTTATTTGTGATTTATATTATATATAAATATAAATATGTATTGCATATGCTTCTTAAATATACGTATGTATGTGTGTGTGTTTATATTTACATAAACACAGTACACACACATATATTATGTAAACACAAACTTTTATTTTTAATGCGATTTATCATGATTAATCTATTTGATAGCCCTAGTTCATTTGTTTACAGAGGTATACTGGAATTTTAGTCTGGAAATGGAACTCTACATGCATTCTGAAAGTTCCATTATTTCAACTCATTAAAGTAATTTAACTAATTTCAACTTCATTTGAAAGTTTATACGAGACTAAACTTAATTTAAGCTGATGCGAGTTGGTGTAGAAACAATTTTCACTGTTATCAATTTTCAAAAATTTGATGATTCTACAGGAAAGCTGTTTAAAACATAGAAGTGTGATAGAAATTGGTGTAAGATTTACTTTTACCCAGAAATTGCTAGTAAATTACAAAGATGATTTGTAAATAAAGTTGTAAATTGAGTTGTAAATAAAACAAAACTTAAATTAAAGTATGATTTACAAGAAAATGTTCAGTCTTTCTACTACAACATTTCTGAGTAAAAGTAAATCCCACACTAACTTTATCACACTTTTATGTTTTAAAAACAGCTTTCCTGTAGAATGATGTCATTAAACAATAGTGTAGAAACAATTTTCACTCAGAAATTGCTAGTAAATTTTACAAATAATAAAAAATGTAAATTAATTTATTTTCTCATTTAAAAAACTGCAAATATATTGAATTAAGTGTGAAATTTTGAAGCAGAAAGACTGGAATAATATTTTCTTGTAAAATGTGCTATAATAATAAAAAAAAATGTTCATTGTACATTTCCCATGTCTGTTTGTGTGTATATAATAACATTGCTGTGTCCATCTCCTCTCATTCAAGGTTATGAGGCCCCTCATCTCATGCCGTACCCAGCTCCAAGTTGCCACGGCAACGACCCAGCATCCTTCTCAGGGTCGTCATAGAAGCTTTCGGACAAATGACAGCACAGTTCAAAGCCGCATGATTCCAGATTCCCCTTTTTGTGCAGTCAGAAATAGCAAGTTCAGAGAAGGAGCGAAGCAACTGGACTGAACTTCTTCACTGTGATCGCGTCTTTGGCCCGAACAGGAACAAAGACACGCCCTCTAATTTACTCCGATATGGTCAGCCTGTATCTCTTCACAGTGTTGCTATGGCGACTGGCGTCCCTGGCGACGGTGGCCCAGTCCAACGAGCGGCGCGTCGTGGCCCACATTCCCGGTGACATCATCATCGGCGCCCTCTTTTCCGTCCACCACCAGCCGCCGGCCGACAAAGTGCACGAGCGCAAATGCGGGGCAGTTCGAGAGCAGTACGGCATCCAGCGTGTGGAGGCCATGATGCACACGCTGGACCGAATCAACGCCGACCCCAAAATCCTCTCCAACGTCACGCTGGGCTGCGAGATCCGAGACTCCTGCTGGCATTCCTCCGTCGCTCTGGAGCAAAGCATCGAGTTCATACGGGACTCGTTGGTCGCCGCCGACGAAAGCGAGGAGGCTGGGGGCGGGACCAGGTGCGCGGATCCGGGAGCCACGCCCATGAAGGGCAAGAAGCCAATCGTAGGGCTGATCGGTCCGGGTTCGAGTTCTGTGGCCATTCAAGTGCAGAATTTACTGCAGCTGTTTAATATCCCGCAGATCGCATACTCCGCCACCAGTATGGACCTCAGCGACAAATCACTCTTCAAATACTTCATGAGGGTTGTGCCGTCGGATGCCCAGCAGGCCAGAGCCATGGTGGACATAGTGAAGAGATACAACTGGACCTACGTTTCTGCAATCCACACTGAGGGTGAGTGATTAATTTACATAGTCAACATCCAGATGTGAGTCAGTAAGTGGATTCAGACTGAAGTTTGTGAGTCATTTTGACCAATTCATTACAAGAATCACATCATAAGAGTCTTTTGTTTGTGAATTGGATTCAGTGACTAATTCATTAGACTAATTCAACATGTCAGTCTTTTTGTCAATTCATTGCAATGATTAGATCATAAGAGTCATTCTTTTTTTTACCAATTCATTACAGGAATCTGATCAAAAGAGTCATTTGTTTGTGATTGTGAATTGCATTCAGTAATTAATTGGACTGTTTTAACTTGTCTTTTTGAATGATTCATTGCAAAAATCAGTCTTTGGTTTGTGAATTGGATTCAGTGACTAATTCATTAGTTTCAATTTGTGAGACTTTTTGACCAATTTATTACAGGATTCAAATCACAAGAGTCATTTGTTTGACTGATTCAACTTGTGTCTCTCCGACCAATTCATTACAGAAAACACATCATAAAATTCATCCAATTGTGAAATGGATTCAGCAATTTGATATTTATGATTCTTTTTGACCAATTTGTTATAGGAACTGGATCATAAGAGTCATTACTTTGTAAATTGTATTAAGCAAGTAATTAATTATACTGAATCAACTTGTGATTCTTTTTAACCAATTCATTACAGGAATCAGATCATAAGAGTCATTTTTTTTGTGAAGTGGATTCAGCAAGAAATGTATTAGACTGATTCAACTTTTGAGTTTTTTATGATCCGATTCTTGTTATGACCTTTTTTAAAGAGTCATTTGTTTATGAATTGGACTGTTCGTTTTCCATGTATGCTGAAAAGGCATGTAATAGTGGTCTATTGTTTGTGTATTTTATCACAGTAGTGATGTTAACATTCCATTTAAACTGCAAACTCATAGCTAAAATATCACTTGTTTTGCCATGCTACTTTATATGCTGCATCAGTGCAGTGCCGCCCACACACACACACACACACGACAGCGATGAGGCGTGATGTGCATGGTGTCTGTTACAGAAGTGTCACATGTGTTCTGTCATTGTGGACTCTTTTAGTGTCAGATGGGAATTGTGCGTTAAGATGTTTGCGAAGTGTGTGTGTGTGTGTGTGTGTGTGTGGACATCTGTAAAGAGCAAAAGCAAAAGAAAAACATCAGAGTGTGACTAAAAGTTTAGTCACATGACATTTACAGCTCAGGTGATTGGCTTGAGAGCAAATATTGCACTAGTCGAGCAGCTACCACTGAGATGAATGGGATAGTTTTCTGATTTTAGATGATTGCCATCATGTATTTCATTTCAAATGGTTTTTGTTTCAATGAGTCTTAGGTTTTTGTTTACTTTGCATTACAATTTTTTAAAGCAACATTTTCCATCTTAGTTTTAGTTGTAGTCATAGCTCTGCTCTTCAGATGCTCCAGGCTTACGACTCTGTTCTTACACCTTAATATGTTTCTTTTCCTCTGAGGTCTCACACACACACACACACACACACACACACACACACACACACACACACACACACACACACACATACACACACATGTCTGGTTTGCTATCCTTGTGGGGACTCTCCATAGGCGTAATGCTTTTTCTACTGTACAGACCGTATTTTCTATTGCCCTACACCAACCCTAAACCTAAACCTACCCCTTACAGCAGGGGTGGGGAACGTTGATCCTGGAGGGCCGGTGTCCCTGCAGAGTTTAGCTCCAACCCTAATCAAAGACACCTGAACCAGCTAATCAAGGTCTCCAGGATGCAGTTAGGTATTTTTTTAGGGTTTTTCAGGGTTGGAACTAAACTTTGCAGGAGAATGGCCCTCCAGGATCAACGTTCCCCACCCCTGCCTCACAGGAAACTTTCTGCATTTTTAGATTTTCAAAAAACTTAATTCTGTGTGATTTATTAGCTTGTTTACCTGTGGGGACCTCAATTTAGGTCCCCACCGTGACACAAGTCCCCATGAGTCTGTGGGTATTCAGGTTTAAGTCCCCACCAGAATAGAAAAACAGGTACACTTACACACACACATACACACACACACACACACACACACACTCACACACACACACACATACATATGATGTACTTCCTTCCCCCCACTCCACTCGCTCTCCTTTCATCCCACTGTATTCCACGGCTCCAGAAACACCCACCCCCCACTCCATGTCTGATCTCTGAGACTCAAGATACACATATACACACACACACACACACACACACACACACACACACACACACACACACACACACACACACACACACACACACATACATATGATGTACTTCCTTCCCCCCACTCCACTCGCTCTCCTTTCATCCCACTGTATTCCACGGCTCCAGAAACACCCACCCCCCACTCCATGTCTGATCTCTGAGACTCAAGAGTGTGTTTGTGTGTGTATGTGGTTCAGAGTTGTAAGCACTTTTACTGACTGGTCCCCAAAGCTGAGGACCTGGAATGTGTCCCAGACTTAATTAAGATGGCAGACAGTGTAAAACTGAACTGGTAAACACACACACACACACACAGCAATGGACAAGAAGATCTTCACCCCGACATACCTGTTAATGAATGGACAAATAAAATATAACAAAGATTCACAGACTGAAAAAATATTCATTATTTGTGTTAATTATCCCTCAGTTTGTTCCAAACCTGTGTAACTTTCATTTTTCAGTGCAACAAAAAAACAACAACAAGTCAGTTAAAAAAAATGTTCACAGTGTGAATGAATGGTGACTAGGGACTGTAAATCTCCCAAAAATTACACCATTAAAAAACACCAAAAATTGGTCCATATGAACCATGCAACATATTCCAAGTTGTCTAAAGTCATACAGTATTTTAGTGTATGAAACAGACTGAACAGCTCTCAGTAGCTGATAGCTTTCAAATCTAATTTTTGTCATTTGAATAGGCACATATTAAAATTTGACACGTTTGATCTGTTACAGGATGCCAATGACATTTGGCATCACTAACATCAGACATAGTTATGGCCATCTCTTCTGCAAAGCATGCTGGGAAAGCACACACAGTAGTCATGGTAAATGAAGCCATTGTGTTCATAATCATCATTCAGTACAGAATGTGTGTGTGTTTGTAATTGTGTGTGTGTGTGTGTGTGTGTGTGTCAGAATCTGGTGGAGTGTAACCTTCACTTAAGATCTCAAGGACTTCAGCTCTCTTCCCACGCTTGCATCCGTCTCTCTCTCTGTCTGCGCATCTCATACGTCTCTCTCGTCTCCGCTCAGGAATAAGCAGCTGTGGAGAGAGCGATTGAAGGATGGAAGTGAGATTAGTTTAACTAAATTGGGTGGAATTTAAAAGCAGAAAAAAGTGGCATGAGGCGAGTGCTGGAAGAGAGTCGGAGATGGGGGCAGGTGAGTGAGAGACGGCCGTAACGGAGAGAAAGCCAAATAGCACGATTAGGAGAAGAACATTGGAGAAGAGCAGAAAGAGAAATAGAATAAATTCAGCTTGAGGAGATCTAAGGAGCTCATCACACATGCTTAGTCTTAAAATGATAGTGTACTCAAAAATGTTCGTAGTGGAATTTTGAAAGGTTCTCCAATGATGTCATGGTTCTAAATGGAACTTTTGTTTTTAAAGAGATAGTTCAGCCAAAAAAAACTCACCCTTGTGTCATTCCTTTCTACTGTGGAACACAGAATGGGCTCTAATTTTGTTGTTTTGTTTCTGTTCTACAGAAGAAAGCCACAGGTTTGGAATAATTTGAAGGAGAGTAAATAATGACGGAATATTCCTTTTTGGGTAAATTATCACTAAAACAAATGTTTAATTTTGAACCATAACATCATAAAGTGCTGTAGTGGTGATATTTTTGTAGGCCAACCCATAAATGATCATCAATCTGGATCCCTCGACAAAAACCCAGTAGGATTTTTCCATTGTCTTTTGGATTATTGCAGAGAATTAGCTCTGTGACTAACAAAAGTTGATTCTTACACATTTCGTTCATCGTTATAATGTTCATGAATTTTGATAATGTTCATGAATTTTGAAGTCTAGGCTATAAATTAACTACACCACGATTGCATGACTTCAACATTCCCATCATTAAGCTTCAACATCTCTTTCAGTCTTTAAAACATTTTCCTTTAAAAGTTTGAGTCATAATAGTTTGCAAGAGCGCAATTATAAACTGTAAAAGCAACTTGTGAGCAGATGAGTTTACTAGTTTGTTTCTTCATCAGATTTGTAGAAATGTAGCATTGCATCACTTGCTCACCAATGGATCCTCTGCAGTGAATGGGTGCCGTCAGAATGAGAGTCCAAACAGCTGATAAACACAATGGGTCCTATCATACACCCGGTGCAATGCGATGCCAAGCGCAAGTGATTTTTGCCAGTTTCAGCCTAACGCAGTTATCATTTTCACATCCTGCACCATGTTGTTTAAACAGCAAATGCATTTGCGCCCATTTGTGCGGCCATGGGCGTGCTGGTCTGAAAATGAGGTGTGTTCAGGTGCATTGTTGGCACATGGCTATTGACGGGTGAACACTCTGCTTATTACACACACAGGGACGTGCAGCAGCACACAAACATGCCAAATATTCAAAATGAAAGGATTACAATGTCAAAGATTATTATTGTGCCTTGTAGATGGTCCTCTTGCGCTTTTTAACCTTGCGCACGAGCAGAACCTTTCCTCTCTGGAGAAACGTTTAGTCTTTGCTCTTGCAAATTCTGCCATGTAAAACAGCGAATCCGCCATGGCGCGAGTACAACTGGCTTTTAAAGGGAATGGGAGATGAGACTCTGATTGGTTTATTGCACGTTATGCCCAAAACTCACCCATGACTCATTAAGAGAATAGGTACAACCCTTTTTGACCATGTGCCTGGTACACTGACCTTTTTCCCGTGGTTAAACTATCAAAAATGTATTCGGACACGTCCTAAGTGTACTTGCGCTCTGCGCTTTAGACCATGCGCTTAGATCGTTAAAATACGGCCCAAT